TTTAATTATTTAAAGACGGTTTTGTGTTTATTAGTATTCAGAAATCAGACTCAAATGCAATTTAATGAGATTAATTACATATTTACAAATTATAAGCGCATATTTTATACGCATAAAATTATTTACTAAATTATAAACGCATTTTTTATATCTTAACGAGGTATTACTCTGTTTGGTATACTAAGGTAAACATAATTTGTTAAAAAGTATGTAACAGATATAAGCCAATAAAGTATATTGATCAGGATCACTAGCTGAGTTTATCTAGCCATGTCCATCTGTCCGTTCGTATACAAGTCAAGGGATCTATAAAGTCTAGAAATTTCAGATTAGGCATATAGAATTCAATGACGCCTACGCTGCAAAAGTTTGTTTTAGAACGTTATTTCACCTATTTGTAAAAGTGTTTTGATTTTATTTTGATCATAAAATTGTTCTCTTAGACCTACTACCTACCAACCAAAACTGTCTCGCCCACACTTTTAAAAAATTCTTCCCATTTACTAATTATGAGCTAAAAACATTTGGTCACGCCCACTCTATTGCCCAAAACTCTATACTCGTTGAGTAAAAGGGTATACTAGATTCGTTAAAAAGTATATAACAGACAGAAGGAAACGTTTCCGACCATATTCTTGATCAGGATCAACAACCGAGTGGATCTGACCATGTCCGTCTGTCCGTATGAATGCCTCGATCTCTGGAACTACAAAAGCTAGAATGTTGAGACTAAGCATGCAGCTTTCAGAGCCATAGACGCAGCGCAAGTTTTTTTCCAAATGTTGCCACGCCCACTCTAACGATGTTTTGATATTTTTTCACTTTTGAATATATCTTGTAAATTTCTATAGATTTGCCAAAAAACTTTTTTCCACGCCCACGCCCACAAACCACCCAAAACTCTTAAGCCTACACTTAAAACCAAATTTTTTTTTTATTTTATTATTCTTTTCATACTTTTAACCGATATTTCAGAAAATTTTGAAATTTCTCGTTTGCACTTCCACTAGCTGAGTAACGGGCTTCTGATAGTCGGGGAATTCGACTATAGCATTCTATCTTGTTTTCATTAGTCTTGTTAATTTCTATCGATTCGCCAAACTTGCCACGCTAACTTCTATTGGTTTAGTAAGTTTTTCACTATGTGGCTTATGGCTTATTGCCATATTCTCTTTGCTCAAACTTTGCATGCAAGCCTTTATAGCCAACTAGTAGGTTGATTTCAGTAAAGTCTTTTAGAAGGTCTCCATCTGACCTATCGTTCCAAAATTTCTTATTTCCAATTTCAAAGACTGGACTTCCCCAAGGTCGTTCTCTTGGCCATTGCTTTTCATTATTTTGTATCAATATTTGTTCTTGTATATAATTGGCTAATTATTTGCTATTAGCAATATCTTAGCTGTAATATTATATATTAGCAGCTGTATTAGTGACAGTCTCATGCTTTTGTTTAATTTGGGCAATATGGATAAGAATCATATGCCTTGAAATATAACTAAAATTTTACTATAATTTTACCTATAACAAATGCCTGTCAGAAATTTTTTTTTTAATTAGACCCCTGTTGGATTTGATTTTGGATCTTGGAGTCCTTTCTGATAGAATATTCCAGTTTCTTGCACACTTTAATTTTAAACTAAGACGAAATAAATAAATACATACATAAATAAATAAAAAATACTGAATAATTAAAAAAAATAAGAACTACTACGAACGGTATCACTAAATATCCTTTAAGTACTTCTACGATACAATTTCGTGTAAATGCAAATACAGATACTTCGGCCTGCGAAGTAACAAGTATCTGATAGTCGATGAACTTTAATAGTTTCCTCGATGAATGGGAATGAAAAGAAGATTATTCAAAATTTAGATAGAAATTGGCAAAACAAAACAACCACAAAAAACAAAAAATTGTCGACATATCGATAGAAATGGGTAATACAAATAATGAAATGAAAACAAATAAAAACGCCTTTTAAAAGTGTTGGAGTTACCATTTATGCGCGGATTGTATTCCAAAATGTTGTAGAAATATTGGTAGAAATTATTAAGACAGTTTTAAAAATGTGTGCGTGAGAGTTTTAAGCGGATTGGGCCTAGATTGGGAGAGGCCAATATGTACCAAGCACATATCGAAAGAAATTGGCAAGGCAAATGATAAATAAAAAAACTTTGTTCAATAATATAAACTTTTTAGCTTCTATAAGTCCTGTACATTTTTTATCGATTTGCCTAAAAACATTTTAACAACACAAAAAAATTGTCACGCCCACACTTTTTAAAAAATTTAAAATTTTCATTTTATTTTTTTTTTTTTTAATAAAATTTATTACCGTTTCAAGGCCAGTAATACACACATTTCCACACCCGAATAATAATGGTTAAAAAATATACAATTTTACTTTTTGAGTATAATATTTACCTATCGCGGACAGGTTTTTACCTAAATTATAACAGTGTTTTCGCTCAAATCACGTGTTGTGGTTAACACGGTAGGTACATTAGGGAGATTGAGTTTTGATTAAAATGTTTACTTATTTTACTTTTTAATTTTTCAAGAAAATTAAATAAAAGGCAAATATGAGCATACTAGAATCAATAACAGATAACGAGACGAGTTTAAGATAAGTGTATGACTCCAAACTCAATTGCGGTTGGTGATTTTCAATGTCCCTCTTTTCTTTACAAAAAAAAACAAACCTTTTCAACGTATACTTAAAAATGCTTGCTCTCTAACAATTTGCTGTCCATACTCCTATAATTCCCAACCTGCTCAAATAAACTGATGTTGTTTCTTAGAAGCTCATGTAACCGCTGGAGGTGGAAAGCCGCCTAGCACACAGATAAGATATTAAAACGACCAAAAATAGTGCAGCCAAAGCAATCCCAAAAGCAATGGGAACCACATCCAACGTCTCCGAGCTGTCACAATCGTGTCCAACTAAGGAACGAGGGTCGTTGGCCATCCAGAAAGCCTCCACATGGACGCGACTGACAGTGATCCAGCCAATCAACTAACTGCTTAGCATCGAAAGTCTCTGTCTTATTCATCTTCTGATCGTGAGTTCAGGTGTAGGACTTATTTTCGTGTGTTTTAAACTCTTCACTCTATGAATAAGCTGAACTGTTTGATTTTCTGGAATTTTAATCTGATCTGAATTTTTAACAGAGGTGTTGCTGGGGATATTCTATAAGCTGTTGGATTGGGTTGCATTGGGTAATTGGATTATGAATGCACTAACGTTAAAATAAATTTTTTTATTATATCAAATGTCTAAATTAAAGACATCTTTCTGTAGCCTTCACTTTACTTACTGGCTGTAAGTAAATTTAAAGATTTATTATAAGTATAAGTAATTTGTTTTTACAAACTTTTCGTACATTTCAGTTAGGCAACCTAGAAATGGCGTACCACTGCGTTAACCAGTTAGAAGAAATCGGATCGCTAAAAAACAATGCGTCAGGATTGATCAACGCCGGCATAGTGGAATTGGCCTCGCACAAACTAACATTAGCACGCGAACGGTTCGAGCGAGCTCTGCAACTTCAGCCGACGAACTTTGAAGCCAGGTACAATCTCGCCTTACTGGCCTTGGCGCAGAATGATTTTGAACTAGCCGAGGAACGTTTCGAGTTGCTAAAGGCCCAACTGATGATGCCCAGCTCAGTTCAGCACAGTCATGTATTTTATCAGCTTGCCAAGCTGCAGGAGCGCAGGTTGGAAAGCGGATTCAAGTCTAACTTAACGCCGGGTGCGGCACTTCAGGCATACCTCCAGGTAGTTGGCATCTCTGCCTCTGACATCGATTCAAGGCTGTTTGAAAAGGTCGGTTCGCTTTACGAGCAGATTCAAGACTACCAAGAAGCAAATCAGTACTATAACGAGGCATACCGCATAAACATGAGCGACATCGCCATCGCAAGCTCCATCGGTTCATATTACATCAAGCTTCAGGCCACTGAACGGGCACTTTATTACTATGAAAGAGCGGTCCTAGCCGATCCTAATGATCCCAACCTAATGTTGCGTATTGCCAGCTGCTTTCGCAACTCGTATCTGCCTCCCAAACAGTACCTGGGCCTTTTTCAAAAGATACATGCCCGATTTCCAGACAACCTGACTTGCATACGTGCTCTTTTGCAAGTTACCAAGTCGCTGGGATTGGGAGACCTGCTTGAGAGGTACGCATCAGAATACACCCGTCTGCAAAGTCAGCAGCAGGAACGTCAGATCGAACAACGATACCAGCAGCAGCGCTTCTCTTCAGCGGCCAAGTCTAGCAACCAATTGCGAAGTACGTATATACATTTTACTCTGTTCCAGAGATTATTTTTAGTTTATCCAATAGCTATCAGGCAGTCCAATGAAGAACACTTGAAGGAGAGTAATGAGTCTTTTAATAGCTTAGCCTATGCTCAGAGCCCATCCACGTTATCCAGTAAAGTTGTGCCACCTCGGTAGGAGAGTTTTCTATGCTATTATACTTTATATGTTTACAGTACTGCAGTTTGATCCTTTGGGACCCCCAACAGAACGTCCCAAAACTGGCCGAACACTGCAAAGCAGAGACGATATAAATGACGACGCTGAAATGAATGCCGAAAGCTTATTGCCTCTTTAAACAGGTCCTTTTATACTAGACAAGTCTCCAATTGCTGGTATTTTCTTAACATTTGGAAAAATACTACTCGTAAACAATACATATTTTAGTTTTCCAATTTGCATATAAGTTAATCGTTTTAATTTTGGATAATTCGATATTAGGCTTTACCTTGTCTGCTAAGCGTAAACTAATGAAATAATAAAATATATTAGGACAACATGTATGACGGTTCAATCAGCCGACTATAACCTTGCTTTTTTTAAAGTTTTTTTTTTTTTTTATCGTCTAATCTGAAGCAGAACAATAATTAACCAATTAAAATAACTTAAATTATCACAAATATTAAAATCTAATTGAACAACTTTCTCATAACCCTTTTCCCTCAAAGTTGAATTTGGTTTTAAATATTATTTATTACAGATTTAAGGCCATTAATACACACATTTCTATGCCCCAATAATAATGGTTAAAAAATATAACATTTTACTTTTTGAATACAATATATACTTGTTGGTTAATACCTTAATAATAATAGTATCCTCAATCAAATCACCTTTTTGCTGCTAACAAGGTAGGTACATTAAGGAGATTGATTTATTTATTGGGTAAAATGTTTACTTCTTTTACTTTTCCATTTCTGAAGAAAGTTAAATAAAAGACAAATATGAGCATACAAGAAATAAAGGACACTTACAAAGAGACATAGAATCCTTTTAAAAGAAATAATGTATTACTCTAAACTCAATTGCGCCTGGTGATCATTAATGTCCCCCTTAAAAAAAAATCAAGCCACTTTAACTTCAACTAATCAATGCTTGCTTTCAATTATTAAAATCAATCTTAAATTTCTCTCTAAAGATTTGCTTTCCATACTCCTTTAATTCCCAACCCGCTCAAATAAGCTGATGTTCTTTTCTTAGAAGCTCATGTAACCGCGAGAGGTGGAACGACGCCTAGCACACAGATAAGATATTAAAACGACCAAAATTAGTGCAGCTAATGCAATCCCAACAGCAATGGGTACCACATCCGACGTTTCAGAGCTGTCGCAATCGTGGCCAACTGAGAAGCCAGTGTCGTTGGCCATCCGGAAAGCCTCCACCTGGACGCGACTGACGGTGATCCAGCCAATCAACTGTTTAGCATCGAGTGTCTCAGTCATGTTCATCTTCTGATCGCGAGTGCAGTGGTAGGACATCTTTTCGGGTGTCTTAAACTCTCCGTCGCTCTTATGAAGAAGCTGAACCGTTTGATTTTCTGGAATTTTGAGGTTATTGGACACGCCTCTGTCAACGATATTTTATATTTTCTTACCCTTCGCATCGGTAAAGTCCTCGGGCAGCAAAGTCAGATGAATTTGTATAGAGGAAAGCACAGTGGTATCATTACTTTTATCAAAATACATTAGTAATGATTGCTTTGAAGTTTCAGGTCCCCAAATCAGATGAATGAACTGAGTAGTCTGGCTTTTACATTCTGAATCTTCAACAGATGCGTTGCTGGGGATATTGTATAAGCCGTTGGTAATGTTTCCCCCTGAATATAAAAATCGCCGTTAGTCACCACAAAGTTACAAGATTTTGTCCTATATTATTGTAGGTATTTTCTTACCCTTAGCCTCATAGGAAAAATTAAGTTGTGCCGCCATTTGAAGCATAATACAAGAGGTATTCCAAGTCCCCACGGATGGTGGCGGATATGGTTGTGGAGCAATTGTCGTGCTTATCACTGGTGCAGTGGTCGTAGGTGGTTCGGTTGAAGTTATGTTGGATGTCGTTGGAGTTATTGTAGAACTTGATATGGTTGTGATTGATTTCTCAGTTGTCGAAGACGTTGGGGTAGTTGAGGATCTGCTGGCCAATGGGTTTGCTTGTTCCAGAAACGCATTACTAACCTTTATATCGACATTCGGCCAGCTTATACTTTTTTGAGAGAACACTAAAAGAATTGTTAAAAATATTTAAATCGGTATTTTCCTAAATTTGGCGGTAAGGAATTTATTTATTAGTGATATTCAAATTATTGTGACCTTAAGCATGTATATGATAGGCTTTGATTGTATTTTCTTTGTTCCCTTATCACAAAACTCTACCCTTTGTTATTTATATGAATGAGTTTGAACTCGATGGAGGAGAGGATCAATCAAAATCGCCTTTGTGACGCATCGCACATAATGTAAGATATTTACACAAACCAGAAATTTAAAAATTCTAAAGTTCAAATACAAGATAAGAATAGTAGGAACACACTATAAAATACAATACAACACTGTGAGTAGTTCAAATCAACAAAGCTACAAGTTCTTAAGTAAAAGAAAACTTTAAAGGTAGGACACAACTATTACGTCCGAAATTTTGAAAAATACCTCTGATTTTATTAATTGTCTTCCCATCCTCTATTGATATGACAAAAACCATTGGCCACATCTGTTTTAATTTTTTTTTTTTTTTTTTCTTAAAAACAAAGCACAAATGGGGAACTACCGCCGGCAAAAGTCGACCTAGTAGTGGGGTAACGCGATAAGCATAGAACAACTAAATACCGAGTTAAACAGATAACGGAATATGGCTGCATGACGGGGGCGGATGACTTTATGTACATATGTACTGCCACAACAGATAAAGCGAAGGTGGTAAAAGGGAAGGTGTCCGGGGGATTTAACGTAAGGGACACAATTTTTCTAGAAACTCGTAACAATAAACGGATGTCTAGATTTCTGCAATTCGTTGACAATGCTTGATCCCCTTACATACGAAAAACTCTAAACTCAACGTTCTAGTTTAAACCTACTACCTATTACGCAGAAAAGACCCTAACTAACCCAGATGGTTACATGAACGAGACCCGAAAAATAAATTACGTGCGAAAAACGACAAATATAAATAAAATGCGATGAATAAGCACATTGAACAAAGTGCGACGCAATTCTTTGCTGATAAAAAACGGTTTACGTAGCTTGTCATATGCTTACTCACCTGCATTGCTTAGCAATAATATTATTAGTAACGCCGAGCAGGTCAACAATTTGCTGGCGAACATATTGATCAGAAATCTGACTAAAGTCGCGATTCAGTTTTCCTATATGTTAACGTAGAACAATGACACTTAGTATTTATTTCCACCTTCTTCATTAATGGTGTGACCAAATAGCGATAAAGAATAATGAATATGGGATGCAATCGTAATAATAGTCTATATGTGCGTCAAATTAGCGTCGATGAGTTAGCGGCGATATGGAACGGTGGAATTTGGAACACGAGGATATTTTTATTTATTTATTTTTCGTTATTTGGGGGTGAAATGCAAAAATGTAAGGAAAGGTAACAACTTAATTAACTATCTATGTGCGACTTAAGTTTATAGGACTTAAAAAAGTATATAAGAAAAGCAATTCAAAAATCAACCCAAAGATTTACCCTCAGCCTTGGCTTTGGCTAGGGAATCCGAGGCGAGCATGGAGCGCACCGCCTTCGCGGCCACGTATGCAAGGGCGGTGGAAGAAAAGTCATTCACCTATGGGCAGCGAAAGAACCAAAACCGTTCGCAGGAAGGTCAAGGAAAAAGTAGCAGGGCCGAGGATGGCCAAGGAAGAAACCCCCATTACTATAAAAAGCAAAAAAAGTTCCCGCAAAATAATGCGGCCCATAACACAAACGATGGCCCTAACCAGTCACCAGAACCCATGGAGTTAGGCTCCACTGTAGCACAACACAGGCAAGCCACCGCCTTCGGAAGCGGCAGGCTGCCAATGCTAGGGGCGAGAATATTCGAGGCCAGAAAAGACATGAATCTACACGCGCGACGGATCAAAGACGTCAAAGAGTGCAGAATACCATGCAACGCGTCGACGACGAAAGTGGCAGCGGCTGTCGCCGAAGTAGTCGAGGAATCCGACGGTTGTGACCAAATACATTTTTTAGGGAACGCTCCCGACTGCCGTTAATTGAACGCCAGTTACATGGGAGAAAATTAAAAATCTTAATAGATACGGGGGCGGCGAAAAACTACATAAAGGAGCTAAAAAATGTAGTGCCGGTCAAATCCCCTTTCACGGTTAGTTCCATCCACGGTGCTAACAGAGTTGAACAGAAATGTTTAATGGACGTTTTCGGGAAAACAGCGGATATTTTCTTTTTGGACACCTTAACGCTTTTTAATGGCGTTATTGGTTTTGATTTCCTAGCTCAAGTTTGAGCAAAGCTAGACACAGAGAAAGGCACAATCAACTATGGTTCTGTGGTTGAAGAGCTGCAGCATCATAAGTGAGACGATGTAAATTTCACTAACGTGAATGACATTACGGTACCGGAATCTGTAAAAACCGAGTTTAGAAACATGATCGCAAACAGATCTAAGGCATTTTCAGCCTCTAACGAGGCACTGCCGTTTAACACTTCCGTTGTTGCCACAATTCGCACTAGCGATGATAAGCCGGTATATTCCAAATTATACCCGTACCCCATGGGTGTATCTGAGTTTGTTAAGCGAGAAATCGCAGACTTACTGCAGAAAGGCATTATTAGAACCTCAAGGTCACCGTACAACAATCCAACATGGATTGTAGACAAAAAAGGCCATGATGAACAGGGGAACAAAAATAAGCGTTTGGTTATAGACTTTAGGAAACTTAAACTTAACTTATGATACTGGCAAACTTAGGAAAAGCCAAATACTTCACAACGTTAGATTTGAAGTCCGGCTACCACCAGATATACTTGGCCGAACACGACCGTGAAAAGACCTCCTTTTCGGTGAACGTCGAAAAGTATGAATTTTGTCGATTACCGTTCGGGTTGAAGAATGCGGGAAGCATCTTCCAAAGAGCGATCGATGACGTCTTACGGGAGCAGATTGGCAAATCGTGCTATGTTTACGTAGATGACGTCATTATTTTTTCTGAAAATGAAAACGACCATGTTAGGCACATAGATTGGGTTTTAAAAAGCCTGTGTGATGCCAACATGAAGGTATCCAACGAGAAGACACACTTTTTTAAGCAAAGCGTTGAATATCTGGGATTTATTGTCACCAATGGAGGTGACCAGAAAAGGTAAAGGCCATAAAGGAATACCCAGAGCCTACAAATTTGTATGAGCTAAGGTCATTTTTGGGTCTAGCTAGTTAATACCGTTGCTTCGTTAAAGACTTTGCGGCGATGGCGAGGCCTTTGACAGGCTTCATGAAAGGAAAAAATAGCTCTGTCAGAAAGCACATGTCCAAGAAGACTCCTATCGAGTTCGGTGATTTGCAGAGAGATGCATTCGAGAGGCTGAGAAATGTCTTGGCTTCTGAAGATGTAATTCGATTTAACGACGGATGCTTCTGCGAACGGTATCGGTGCGGTTCTATCACAAGATAAAAGATCCATCACTATGATCTCTAGGACCCTCAAAGAGAGTGAGTCACACTACGCCACGAATGAAAGAGAATTGTGTGGGATTTAGGCAAGTTACAACACTACCTATACGGCACTCGAGATATTAACATTTATACGGACCATCAACCGTTTACATTTGCGGTGTCCGATCGGAATCCAAATCCGAAAATTAAAAGGTGGAAAGCGTATATTGATGATCATAACGCAAAAATCCACTACAAACCGGGTAAAGACAACCATGTGGCTGACGCTCTTTCCAGGCAGAACGTTAATGCCTTACAAAGTGAGCCTCCGTCAGACGCTGCGACTGTTCACAGCGAACTGTCACTGACCTACACGGTCGAAGCGACAGACCAACCAGTAAACTGCTTCAGAAATCAAATTGTTATAGTAGAAGCACGTTTCCGACTAAAGCGAAGCTTGGTATTGTTTCGTAGTAAAACTCGCCACTTAATCAATTTCGCCGACAAAAGCACCATTTTGGAAATGCTAAAGGAGGTCGTGAAGCCCGATGTCGTAAATGCGATACTTTGCGACCTACCCACCCTGGCAAGTTTTCAACACGACTTAATCGCTCATTTCCCGGCTACGCAGTTTCGATACTGTAAGAATATTGTAATAGACGTTACCAATCGAAACGAGCAGTTGGAAATTATCACGACAGAACACAATCGTGCACACAGGACGGCTCAGGAGAATATATTGCGACAATGAAGCCGCCTTCAATTCGGAAACTATCACCTCGTTACTTAAAAACAGCTACCACATTGACATTGTGAACGCGGCCCTGCTGCATAGCTCGTCAAACGGTCAAGTGGAACGATTATACAGCACCTTAACAGAAATCGCCAGGTGTCTTAAACTAGACAAAAAAATCAGCGATACGACAGAGTTCATCTTGAGGGAAACGATAGAATATAATAAGACCCTGCATTCTGTCACTCAGATCCTCCACTCGGGTTCCGATAATCGCTTCCTAGGCATTAGAGACAAGTTGACAAGGCCCAGAAGAACAACATCGAAAGATGCAACCAGCTAGGCAAAACCGTGTTTTTGAGGTAAGAGGCGATGTTTTTGTCAAAAACAATAAAAGGCTAGGAAACTAGCTTAGAAACACCATTGTGCACAGAACAAACAGTGCAGGCAGACCTGGGAACGTCTGTTCTTATTAAGGGGAGGGTCGCCCATAAGGACAACCTAAAATAGATTCTCCCACTTCCAATTAGCTGAAAGCATATTTTTTAATAGTTAGCCAGATTTAAGTTAATACACCGTGGTCTCACTCTACGTTTGAATGGCAGGTTCGTCCTCACAACGCTCATCACCCTAGCGGTGACAAATGCTCGGATTACCGACTTTTCTCACGCCAACTTGTTGTCCGTTATAAAAACACACCATAGAATCGCGAGAAGTTTAGATTTCTTGGGAACAGCTCTTAAAGTAGTTGCGAGAACTCCCGATGCCTCAGATATCCTTAAAATCAGAATGACAGAAGCCCAGCTGGTGGACTCAAACTCGAGGCAGATTAACATAAACTCCGAAACTCAGAAACAGATAAACAAACTGACCGACATCATTAACATAATTATTAAAACCCGAAATAACGATTTGGTTGACACCCCGCATCTGTACGAGGCACTACTAGCGAGAAATAGAATTCTGACAACAGAGGTACAAAATTTAATTCTCACTGTAACATTGGCTAAAGCTAACATAATAAATCCCACTATCCTTGATCATGCCGATCTGAAATCACTAACTGAACAAGACACCCCAGTAGTTAGTTTATTAGAAACCTCTAAAATTAGGGTCCTTCAGTCCGATAACATTATCTATATACTAATAGCCTATCCTAGAGTCAAGGTCAGATGTAAAAAAGTCCTCATGTACCCAGTATCACATTATCAAGTAATCCTACGACTCGACGAAGACACCTTGGCAGAATGTGAAGAAGACACCTTTTCGGTCACCGAGTGCATGGAGACCACGCACAGCACCTTCTGCGAGCGGTCTCGACGCGAAACCTGCGCTCGCTCGCTCCATGCGGGAAACACAGCCCAGTGCCATACTCAACCCAGCCACCTTGGGGCAGTAATGCCTATAGATGATGACATTGTTATCATTAACGAGGCAACAGCCCGCATCAGCACAGATGGCGGCCCAGAGGTGCTCGTCAAAGGATCACATCTGGTGACCTTCGAACAATCAGCTACCATCAACGGAACGGAGTTCGTAAATTTCCGAAAAACAATAGACAAGCAGCCTGGCGTAGTAAGATCACCACTACTTAAAATCGTCGGCGACGACCAGGTCAGCAGCGGCAATCGGACACCCAGTAGCCGGGCTGCCGAACCATGAGCTTATGGCGTGATGCATTGGAGCTAGGGTAAATTCATATTTTCCATATTATTTGTATTCAGTTCTAAGCGAGACCTCTACTAATAAAGAGCTAATTACTCCGGCAATAGCCGTTAAATATCTTATATCATTTTGAAAGCTGACTGTGTCTCTAGGCCAGCAGTTAAGAAGGGTAGTTCCCCTTCCAACATAATCTTCCTATTCTAACATAGAAACTACAGCCAGCCGGCTAGACGCTCTTAGCGATCTCCAACTAGAGCGAGGAACGACCGCCCGCTACCTGTGGACTACGCTCATCGGCCAACCGGCCAAAGTACAGTGACTGCAGCGGGGGACCGTCCCCTGATCCACTACTTATAAATTAATTTACATATTGTAACGTAATTATTCCTTACTCATAATTCACTTACACAAAGACCGACCGCGGTGGTCCACCGTTAAATAATCCACTCGTTAAATAAACAAATATTTCTCGATATTGCGAATCTCGTTAAAGAAACAAACATTTCTCGATAGTGCGCATCCACTCAAGCCGCAACCAAAACCCATCCTCTAGCACATAGCCACGTAGTACATAAGAATTCTTTTTTTTCATACGTATGCACATAAGCATAAGCAAGAAGCGCTCTCGCCCAGATCAAGTAAACAACCCACTAACCCAGTACATCTAAGATTTTCTCACACCATTTGTTTCAGTCTTCAGCCGACATTCAATCAACGTTCTCTTGGAGAACGTAATTCGTGATGCCGTCACCTACACCGAACACGCCAAGCGGAAGACTGTTACTGCCATAGATGTTGTGTACGCTCTGAAGAGGCAAGACAGCACCCACTACGGATTTGGCGGTTAAAAAAAGAAGAGTACACCCTGTACTTCTATTAAGCAATCGGTCCTTTTCAGGACCACCATTCAGTTTTTAAAAGGAGGTACATTTTCAAAAGAAAAAAAAATGGTCTTTTTATTGTTTGAGAATTCCAAAACTGAGGTATTTGAGACTAAAACTAAATGGCGATCGTTCATTGCTCTTTCAGGTAGACCAACGTTCGGGTGTTGTGTGTATATTATATAATACATATATATATATATTCATAACAGACTGTACTAGTTCCAGACACCGCGTGTAAGTCTGCGTTGCCTTCGTAGTGTGCGAGTATTTAAAAAAAAAAAAAAAATAGTTTGAATTTTTATAATAGAAAGCTTGAAAAAACGTTCTGCATAGCAACCTGCATTCAACATAGAAGAAAAAACATGACTGTCTAAACATGTGTTTAGACATGATAATTATACAAACTATAAATATGTTCTATTTAAGGGCTGCAATAAACATGTCACGGGACAGCATAAGTGGCAACTACAGATAAGTACGATTGCAGTGGTCTATTGCCGAAGTGTCAAGAGATATGATCACGCGGGAGGTGACTAGCGCGGTCATAGGCCACAAACATAGATTTAAGATAAATCTCAGCTGCATTGACCAACGCAGACTGCAGCGTCTTACAAGCGCTGCATTATATAATTAGATGATAAGAACCTATGTAAGAATGAATAAAAGGCGATGCCCTCGCAGTAGCGAGTCAGTTAGATTCAAACACCCGAATTGAACACATTAAGTGTACGTGTTTATAGTGTGAACATTTTGGTCCTTCGAGAAATTCTGTTGTTTTCCCCCACCAGTGGTAAGAAACACAGAAGAAAAAAACCAGCGCTTCAAAGTAAAAAGAGCAAGGTTATTCGAGTGATTCTGTTGTTTCTCCCACCAGTGGTAAGAAACACAGAATAAAAGACCACGCCTTAAAGTACTAGGACTATAATGTGAAACATTGTGTTCTTGCTTTTCCTTGGCTGATCAATCAGCTGTGAGTCGAGGCACAGCTAGGTCAACTGGGCGACCAATCAAAAAAATCCTCCAACGGATCACGTCAAAGAATACAAGCAGAAAGCACAAAAAAGTCACAGTGATTGTTTTCCCAAGATGTTGTCGGAAAGATCTGTGAAATTGATGCAAGACCAAGGAGAGCTGCAGAACAAAATACTGCAAGCAATCAAGGAAAAGGCATCTATACCAGCAATAGAAGCATTGGTAGTTCGATTTACTACTAACAACAATCCGCTGGTAAAATTGGGAGTTGGCGATCATCAATATTTTAATGATAAAATATTTATTAAAACTATGGATGCTGTCAAGGCCTACAAGGAGTCGCAATTAAAGGTAGAAACACTTGAAGAAATAAATATACCAAGTGGATCAAAATTATCTGATACCGTCCAGTTAATAATCTCGTTCAACTGGTGGATAGAAGAGCGGACAGGGTGAGGCAACAGATGAGCCTAATCTACGAAACCCTGGATAGTTCAAGTGAGATTGAACTAGTCAAGCAGCTGGCAATGATGAAAAGTCATTGGTCCAACGTGACGGACACACTGAAACTGCTTGAAAACAAGTATGACAGAACTGTCTTTGATCAAGATGAGGCAGACATTCAGCAATCTGAAGTTGCCGCACTAGAGATGGTACTTCAAATGAAGTTGGAACAGTTCAAAAGTTCCAACTACGACGTGCCAGAACTCCCAAAAGTGGACAACATTTTACGAGCTGTTCTCTGAACTAATAGACATCAGGAAGGATCTCAGCAACACAAGGAAGCTGGGATATTTAAGAGCCTGCTTAAAAGGAGAAGCTCAAATGGTGGTTAGCCATTTGATAACGGGATCAGCAGCTAGCTATGCAGCAGCGTGGGAGCTTATCTGCAAACGCTATGAGAATAGCAGAAAAATATTCTCCCAACACTTCAACAAATTAATGAAACTGGAGTGCTTGCTACCCCATGATTAGAAAAATTTAGGGAAGTTTTTGGATACTGCGACCGAGAGCATATTCATCATAAAGCAAAAAGGAAAAATAGGAAGCTCTGCTGACGTAATTTTGCAGAAATTCTGCTGCGGAAATTTTCGCCAGAAGGCTTGCTGCTGTATGAACAGCATGTAAAAAAGGCAAGAGCTATACAGTCCTTACAAGATGTACTGGAGTTTATTGAGCAACAATACAACTCAGTAAATGCCATTACCAAAAATACCGCTCAGCTTGCTACAAGAAAAGTGCAAGTTAGACCGTGTGCCTTTTGCTCTAAGGATGGCCACGATATGATAAAGTGTCTCAAATTCAGAGCACAATCAATCGAAAAAAGAAAAGAATTCGTTCAAAAGAACAGCATGTGCTTTAGATGCTTTGGAAAGCATAATGCTATCGACTGCAGAAAGGAAATTACATGCAATCGATGCTCCAAAAGACACATCAGCCTTCTGCATGAAGACACAAAACGCAGTATCAACAGCAATAGCCTTAAGCAAGGCCAAGACACACTATTGGCTACAGCTGTTGTTTTAGTGAAAAACAAAGCTGGAGGTTACAACGAGTTGAGGGCGCTTATTGACGGTGGATCCCAGAAGACGCTGATTTTAGAGGAAGCAGCACAAATATTAAGGATTCCCAGAGTAAGGAGTACTATAGAGGTCGATGTCCATCTGACGATCAAACCAAAAATTCCAAGCAGCTTCAAAGCATCAACGGAAGCATTGGTTTTACCAACACTCCATAGAGCCCTTCCCAGCAAAAAGTTTGATATTGATATCAACAAAGAGTGGAAGGGCTACAGGCTAGCAGATCCACGATTCAACGAGCCAAGCAGAATTGACATGGTGATAGGTGTGGATATATTTCCCCTGGTTAATGTGGAGAAAATAAAAACCGTGAATGGAATCTTGGGACAAAAAACCAAATTTGGATGTATTGTGTCCGGAAATATAACTCGAGCAGCAAAGCAAAAAATTATAAGTGCCACTACAACAATAAATCTAAAGGACCTGGAACGCTTTTGGGAATTGGATAGATGGAAGCTTATTCAACGCATCAGAGGTGATTTTTGGAAGAAATGGAATGAGGAGTATCTGGTGTCATTGCAACAGCGAACCAAATGGCGCCAAGTAAAGCCAAATCTGAAGGAGGGCAGCTGGTTCTTATAAAACATGAGAACACTCACCCTGCAAGATGGCCAATGGGAAGAATCATTAGTACGACTAAAGGACAAGATTTTCCGGGTAGTCACGGTTAAAAAAAGCATTGGGGAAGTAAAAAGATCGCTAAACAAGATCTGTCAACTTCCTGTTAGCGAAGCAAAACCAGCTGGAGCTGCAACGCATGAATGAGAGACGACTACTGGCCGTACATTGTTCCCCCCGGAGAATGTCTAAACATGTGTTTAGACATGATAAGTAGACAACTATAAATATGTTCTATTTAAGGGCTGCAATAAACATGTCACGGGACAGCATAAGTGGCAACTACAGATAAGTACGATTGCAGTGGTCTATTGCCGAAGTGTCAAGAGATATGATCACGCGGGAGATGACTAGCGCGGTCATAGGCCACAAACATAGATTTAAGATAAATCTCAGCTGCATTGACCAACGCAGACTGCAGCGTCTTACAAGCGCTGCATTATATAATCAGATGATAAGAACCTATGTAAGAATGAATAAAAGGCGATGCCCTCGCGGTAGCGAGTCAGTTAGATTCAAACACCCGAATTGAACTCATTAAGTGCACGTATTAGTTTATAGTGTGAACAATGACCATTCTTAATATAGTAATTTTTAATCTTTGGTAATAATTTGGTCGTCCTGAAAAGGACGGTTTGGATGACGATTTTATGTACAAGTTTTCCGCTCAGCTTTTGAAACGTTTAAGCCTTCTTCTCGGTCTTCTTGGGCAACAGAACAGCCTGTATGTTAGGCAACACTCCACCTTGGGCAATAGTGACGCCGGAGAGCAGCTTGTTTAACTCCTCGTCGTTACGGATGATCAACTGCAGATGACGCGGAATAATTCTAGTCTTCTTGTTGTCACGAGCAGCATTGCCTGCCAACTCGAGAACCTCAGCAGCCAGATATTCCATTACGGCTGCTAGGTAAACTGGAGCGCCTGCACCAACACGCTCGGCGTAGTTACCCTTCCTAAGCAGACGGTGAATACGGCCCACAGGAAATTGAAGACCGGCACGGTTGGAGCGGGACTTTGCCTTCCCTTCACTTTGCCACCTTTTCCACGTCCAGACATTTTGCTTTGCGATTATTTCACTTAGATCACTGTACACACGGAACACGAATGCTTGTCGAACCTCGGCAGCGAAATATTTATACTTTTCCGTCTGTCAGCTCTCTTAGTTAGGAGTGGGAATGAACGCATTCGGAGCCCACATTACAATAAGTGAATTGTGTTTGTGAAATTATAAGTGAAGTGAATAATGCCGCCGAAAACTAGTGGAAAGGCAGCCAAGAAGGCTGGCAAGGCTCAGAAGAACATCACCAAGACCGACAAGAAAAAGAAGCAGCCCCAGCGGCAGTTTTTTTGGCGGAGGCACCAGTCTTCTTGGAGGTTACCTTCTTGCTTTGCACTTTTTTCTCAACAGACAAAACCTTTAATTTTGCCTTCGGATCCTTATCTTTCTTGGCGGAAGCCGACAGTTTGAATGATCCAGATGCACCCTTTCCCTTTGTTTGGATAAGTTTTCCATTAACCACAGCCGATTTTAAGTACTTCTTGATGAATGGAGCTAGCTTTTGGGCGTCGCATTTATAAGTGGCAGTGATATATTTTTTTATGGCCAAAAGTGATGAGCCACCACGTTCCTTTAAGTTTTTAATGGAAGCGTCTACCATTTGCTGAGTTGGCGGATGTGACGGCGTCGCAGTGGCTTTCTTTGCCTTTGTGGCAGATGTAGATGCCTTTTTTGGGGCCACCTTCTTCTCAACTGACGCGGGCGTGGCAGCCACTGGAGAAGCGGACGTTGCAACTGCAGAATCAGACATATTTTTTTACTAAGAACACTTTTTTTCTTTAGAAAATGGCCCGCGCGTTGTCTGCCAACCTCCTTTGCTCGAATGAGAATCGAGGAGGAGAGCACTTTAACAATGCGACTGACAGCAGTCATTTACAACGTTGATGTTTGCTTGAAGTGCAACCTTTTTTTTTAATTTTTAGTGTTTAAATTCTATAGTTAATATAATGTTTTAATTTTTCTGGATTCTTAAATAATTATTGATTCACTATGCATTTTTAAAATGTTGATATATGGTTTTTGTGACGTTTTAATGTTGATACAACTTTAATATTCACATATTTAACTAGCGCAATTTATAAAAAAACATGTTTTAAAATCAGAAATAATGCAAATAATATAGTAGTTCCCAATGTTTATAAAAATTTCAACTTTCTACCTTTAGAAAAACATAAAAAAGAAGCGTCTATCATTTATTGAGATACTTCATTACTCGATTTAAGTTGACAATGAATTACATACAAATTTTGCTTTACTGCATCATTCAGCAATTGTTTTCGACCATAAAAAATACAACAATTTTTAAAAACCATAGTTTTTTAATATTTTCACAAATTATTAATAGGTTTGCTCTAGTAGATTACACTTTTTTTGAATACTTATAAATAATTTGTCTGAAATAAATCAATTTCCCTGCCGTATATAAGCCTCGATGTAGTCATACTATGGTCACACAATGTTTTCATCAAATAAAAAAAACCAAGCATACATTTTTTTATTATCTTTTTATTTTATGTAATAGATATTGAATACTTCAACGTAATTAACCAATTTTAAGACTGTCTACTACAAAACTTTTATTTTTTTCAGACGTTTTAAGGGGAAGTGTCACTTGCCCCGTACGACTTCGTCAATAATATTCCCAACTTAAGTTATCACCAAGAAAAAAACACCAAATAGCAATTTTTATGTTATTAAATTCTGTTATTTTGTAAATATTGGACTCACCAATTTAATTACAATATTTTCAAATTGTCTTTCGCAGAATTTCAATTTTTTATAGATGATTGAAGGTCTAAAAGTCCCATGCTCCGTTTGTATTTCACTTTTATTACTCAAGGAAGTTAACAACAAGAAAAATATAAATCAACTGTTTATATATTAACCTTTTCATTTATTTTATTAATTTTGGGCCTATAATTAAAATATCATTATTTTGATCCAGTTATTAGCAGAATTTATATTTTTTTTACAAATGTTTGAAGGTCCAGTGCCGTTTGCCCCTAGAAAAAATTGTAGAACATCTATTTTCTTGTTATTTTGTTATTTTCTTGTAAAAAAAAAAGGCTGCTAAAGCGCATTTTATTTCTCATTGAATGTAGTTTGTGGTCCTGAAAAGGACCGATTGTAGAGTATATGCTAGCGCTTTGGCTGCCAGTTGAAGCCGTGCCAATTTAAGCACGCTCGCCGCGGATGCGTCGCGCTAATTGGATGTCCTTGGGCATAATGGTGACACGCTTGGCATGAATGGCACACAAGTTGGTATCTTCAAAGAGACCAACCAGATAGGCTTCGCTAGCTTCTTGCAGGGCCATAACCGCCGAGCTCTGGAATCGCAAATCAGTCTTAAAATCCTGAGCGATTTCACGCACCAGACGCTGAAAAGGCAGTTTGCGGATCAAAAGCTCAGTGCTCTTTTGGTACCGACGGATCTCACGCAAGGCCACTGTTCCAGGGCGATAGCGATGGGGCTTCTTCACACCTCCGGTCGCAGGGGCACTCTTGCGAGCGGCCTTAGTAGCCAGTTGTTTGCGTGGCGCTTTTCCACCAGTCGATTTGCGTGCAGTTTGCTTCGTACGGGCCATTTCCGATTTGAGTTTTACCACAGTTCACGTTCACTTCTTCACGTTTCAAAACACAATAAACGATCAGAGCATTTGCTACCTACTTATATAGCAAGCGTGGATGGTGGAAAAGAGAAAGAAACAGATGCCATCTCATTTAACGAGCGAATAAAGAAACGAACATATCGTTCGTACTCTCTCGGGTTTTTGGCGTTTTACGTATAAATAGGGGCACTGAGAAAATTTTGAAATTAGTTCTTTAGTGACTTTCGGGCTGTGTGTGTGTGCAGAATAGTATAAAACAGTGAAAAATGACTGGTCGTGGTAAAGGAGGCAAGGGCTTGGGAAAAGGTGGCGCCAAGCGACATCGCAAAGTGCTGCGTGATAACATCCAAGGAATCACGAAGCCTGCTATCCGCCGTTTGGCTCGTCGTGGCGGTGTGAAGCGCATATCTGGACTTATATACGAGGAAACGCGTGGCGTTCTGAAGGTTTTCTTGGAGAACGTAATTCGTGATGCCGTCACCTACACCGAACACGCCAAGCGGAAGACTGTTACTGCCATGGATGTTGTGTACGCTCTGAAGAGGCAAGGCCGCACCCTCTACGGATTTGGCGGTTAAAAAAAGAAGAGTACATCCTGTACTTCTATTAAGCAATCGGTCCTTTTCAGGACCACCATTCAGTTTTTAAAAGGAGGTACATTTTCAAAAGAAAAAAAAAGGGTCTTTTTATTGTTTGAGAATTCCAAAAATGAGGTATTTGAGACTAAAACTAAATGGCGATCGTTCATTGCTCTTTCAGGTAGACGTAGACCAACGTTCGGGTGTTGTGTGTATACTATACCTTTATATATATATTCATAACAGACTGTACTGGTTCCAGACACCGCGTGTAAGTCTGCGTTGCCTTCGTGGTGTGCGAGTATTTAAAAAAAAAAAAAACTAGTTTGAATTTTTATAATAGAAAGCTTGAAAAACCGTTCTGCATAGCAACCTGCATTCAACATAGAAGAGAAAACATGACCATTCTTGATATAGTAATTTTTAATCTTTGGTAATAATTTGGTCGTCCTGAAAAGGACGGTTTGGATGACGATTTTATGTACAAGTTTTCGGCTCAGCTTTTGAAACGTTTAAGCCTTCTTCTCGGTCTTCTTGGGCAACAGAACAGCCTGTATGTTAGGCAACACTCCACCTTGGGCAATAGTGACGCCGGAGAGCAGCTTGTTTAACTCCTCGTCGTTACGGATGGCCAACTGCAGATGACGCGGAATAATTCTAGTCTTCTTGTTGTCACGAGCAGCATTGCCTGCCAACTCGAGAACCTCAGCAGCCAGATATTCCATTACGGCTGCTAGGTAAACTGGAGCGCCTGCACCAACACGCTCGGCGTAGTTACCCTTCCTGAGCAGACGGTGAATACGGCCCACAGGGAATTGAAGACCGGCACGGTTGGAGCGGGACTTTGCCTTTCCCTTCACTTTGCCACCTTTTCCACGTCCAGACATTTTGCTTTGCGATTATTTCACTTAGATCACTGTACACACGGAACACGAATGCTTGTCGAACCCCGGCAGCGAAATATTTATACTTTTCCGTCTGTCAGCTCTCTTAGTTAGGGGTGGGTGACTAGACCTGAAATGATTGCTCGTAAAAAAGTATAAGAATGAACGCATTCGGAGCCCACATTACAATAAGTGAATTGTGTTTGTGAAATTATAAGTGAAGTGAATAATGCCGCCGAAAACTAGTGGAAAGGCAGCCAAGAAGGCTGGCAAGGCTCAGAAGAACATCACCAAGACCGACAAGAAAAAGAAGCGCAAGAGGAAGGAGAGCTATGCCATCTACATTTACAAGGTTCTCAAGCAGGTCCATCCTGACACCGGTATTTCGTCTAAGGCGATGAGCATAATGAACAGCTTTGTAAATGATATTTTCGAGCGCATTGCTGCCGAGGCGTCTCGTCTGGCTCACTACAATAAGCGCTCGACCATCACCAGTCGGGAAATCCAAACGGCTGTTCGCCTGCTTCTGCCCGGAGAGTTGGCTAAGCATGCTGTCAGTGAGGGAACCAAGGCTGTCACCAAGTACACCAGCTCCAAATAATTTCCTCCTGCGAGTGCGGACAAAAATCCAAAACGGCCCTTTTCAGGGCCACAATGTGTTTCATCAAAGAAATGTATTTTTCAATTTACCAATCGTCTAATATGAATTTACCATTTTAACTCTACCGATAATATGGGTAAAATTTTTCAAATACAGACCGAAAAATCGGAAACGATAACTGAATACGCTCAACAAGCAACGTAATTCAATAACTAGACATGTATCGTTTTATTGTTGTTGCCAAAGTCTGCTAATAAGGTAAATGGAACTTTTTAATTTACAAATAGTATTTGAATGATTTTCTTTCTCTTGCAAGTGAATGTTGTAGCCCTGAAAAGGGCTTGTTTAGACAAATTTCAGATCTAGAAATCTAAAATTTTGATTGCGAACATGTACCAACTACTGTACTTTTTCGCAATTTACTTCTTGGCAGCCGTAGTCTTTGCTTTCGGCTTCTTGGCGGTAGCAGAAATCGCTGCTTTCTTCGCCGTCTTTTTGGGTTTTGCAGACGCCGCTGGCTTCGCCTTTGGGGATTTGGCTGCTGCAGCCTTCGACTTCGCTGCGGTCGCCTTCGCCTTTGTTGCGGCGGGCTTCGACTTTACGATTCCAGTTTTCTTGTCATCCTTGGCTTTTGCCTTCTCCGTTTTCTTCTTCTCGGCAGTCTTTTTGGTGGCCACAGCCTTCTTAGCCTTGGGCTTTTTGTCAGCAGCCCCAGCGGCAGTTTTTTTGGCGGAGGCACCAGTCTTCTTGGAGGTTACCTTCTTGCTTTGCACTTTTTTCTCAACAGACAAAACCTTTAATTTTGCCTTCGGATCCTTATCTTTCTTGGCGGAAGCCGACAGTTTGAATGATCCAGATGCACCCTTTCCCTTTGTTTGGATAAGTTTTCCATTAACCACAGCCGATTTTAAGTACTTCTTGATGAATGGAGCTAGCTTTTGGGCGTCGCATTTATAAGTGGCAGTGATATATTTTTTTATGGCCAAAAGTGATGAGCCACCACGTTCCTTTAAGTTTTTAATGGAAGCGTCTACCATTTGCTGAGTTGGCGGATGTGACGGCGTCGCAGTGGCTTTCTTTGCCTTTGTGGCAGATGTAGATGCCTTTTTTGGGGCCACCTTCTTCTCAACTGACGCGGGCGTGGCAGCCACTGGAGAAGCGGACGTTGCAACTGCAGAATCAGACATATTTTTTTTACTAAGAACACTTTTTTTCTTTAGAAAATGGCCCGCGCGTTGTCTGCCAACCTCCTTTGCTCGAATGAGAATCGAGGAGGAGAGCACTTTAACAATGCGACTGACAGCAGTCATTTACAACGTTGATGTTTGCTTGAAGTGCAACCTTTTTTTTAAATTTTTAGTGTTAAATTCTATAGTTAATATAATGTTTTAATTTTTCTGGATTCTTAAATAATTATTGATTCACTATGCATTTTTAAAATGTTGATATATGCTTTTTGTGACGTTTTAATGTTGATACAACTTTAATATTCACATATTTAACTAGCGCAATTTATAAAAAAACATGTTTTAAAATCAGAAATAATGCAAATAATATAGTAGTTCCCAATGTTTATAAAAATTTCAACTTTCTACCTTTAGAAAAACATAAAAAAGAAGCGTCTATCATTAATTGAGATACTTTTTTACTCGATTTAAGTTGACAATGAATTACATACAAATTTTGCTTTACTGCATCATTCAGCAATTGTTTTCGACCATAAAAAATACAACAATTTTTAAAAACCATAGTTTTTTAATATTTTCACAAATTATTAATAGGTTTGCTCTAGTAGATTACACTTTTTTTGAATACTTATAAATAATTTGTCTGAAATAAATCAATTTCCCTGCCGTATATAAGCCTCGATGTAGTCATACTATGGTCACACAATGTTTTCATCAAATAAAAAATACGAAGCATACATTTTTTTATTATCTTTTTCTTTTATGTAATAGATATTGAATACTTCAACGTAATTAACCAATTTTAAGACTGTCTACTACAAAACTTTTATTTTTTTCAGACGTTTTAAGGGGAAGTGTCACTTGCTCCGTACGACTTCGTCAATAATATTCCCAACTTAAGTTATCACCAAGAAAAAAATACCAAATAGCAATTTTTATGTTATTAAATTCTGTTATTTTGTAAATATTGGACTCACCAATTTAATTACAATATTTTCAAATTGTCTTTCGCAGAATTTCAATTTTTTATAGATGATTGAAGGTCTAAAAGTCCCATGCTCCGTTTGTATTTCACTTTTATTACTCAAGGAAGTTAACAACAAGAAAAATATAAATCAACTGTGTATATATTAACCTTTTCTTTTATTTTATTAATTTTGGGCTAATAATTAAAATATCATTATTTTGATCCAGTTATTAGCAGAATTTATATATTTTTTTTACAAATGTTTGAAGGTCCAGTGCCGTTTGCCCCTAGAAAAAATTGTAGAACATCTATTTTTTTGTTATTTTGTTATTTTCTTGTAAAAAAAAAAAGGCTGCTAAAGCGAATTTTATTTCTCATTGAATGTAGTTTGTGGTCCTGAAAAGGACCGATTGTAGAGTATATGCTAGCGCTTTGGCTGCCAGTTGAAGCCGTGCCAATTTAAGCACGCTCGCCGCGGATGCGTCGCGCTAATTGGATGTCCTTGGGCATAATGGTGACACGCTTGGCATGAATGGCACACAAGTTGGTATCTTCAAAGAGACCAACCAGATAGGCTTCGCTAGCTTCTTGCAGGGCCATAACCGCCGAGCTCTGGAATCGCAAATCAGTCTTAAAATCCTGAGCGATTTCACGCACCAGACGCTGAAAAGGCAGTTTGCGGATCAAAAGCTCAGTGCTCTTTTGGTACCGACGGATCTCACGCAAGGCCACTGTTCCAGGGCGATAGCGATGGGGCTTCTTCACACCTCCGGTCGCAGGGGCACTCTTGCGAGCGGCCTTAGTAGCCAGTTGTTTGCGTGGCGCTTTTCCACCAGTCGATTTGCGTGCAGTTTGCTTCGTACGGGCCATTTCCGATTTGAGTTTTACCACAGTTCACGTTCACTTCTTCACGTTTCAAAACACAATAAACGATCAGAGCATTTGCTACCTACTTATATAGCAAGCGTGGATGGTGGAAAAGAGAAAGAAACAGATGCCATCTCATTTAACGAGCGAATAAAGAAACGAACATATCGTTCGTACTCTCTCGGGTTTTTGGCGTTTTACGTATAAATAGGGGCACTGAGAAAATTTTGAAATTAGTTCTTTAGTGACTTTCGGGCTGTGTGTGTGTGCAGAATAGTATAAAACAGTGAAAAATGACTGGTCGTGGTAAAGGAGGCAAGGGCTTGGGAAAAGGTGGCGCCAAGCGACATCGCAAAGTGCTGCGTGATAACATCCAAGGAATCACGAAGCCTGCTATCCGCCGTTTGGCTCGTCGTGGCGGTGTGAAGCGCATATCTGGACTTATATACGAGGAAACGCGTGGCGTTCTGAAGGTTTTCTTGGAGAACGTAATTCGTGATGCCGTCACCTACACCGAACACGCCAAGCGGAAGACTGTTACTGCCATGGATGTTGTGTACGCTCTGAAGAGGCAAGGCCGCACCCTCTACGGATTTGGCGGTTAAAAAAAGAAGAGTACATCCTGTACTTCTATTAAGCAATCGGTCCTTTTCAGGACCACCATTCAGTTTTTAAAAGGAGGTACATTTTCAAAAGAAAAAAAAAGGGTCTTTTTATTGTTTGAGAATTCCAAAAATGAGGTATTTGAGACTAAAACTAAATGGCGATCGTTCATTGCTCTTTCAGGTAGACGTAGACCAACGTTCGGGTGTTGTGTGTATACTATACCTTTATATATATATTCATAACAGACTGTACTGGTTCCAGACACCGCGTGTAAGTCTGCGTTGCCTTCGTGGTGTGCGAGTATTTAAAAAAAAAAAAAACTAGTTTGAATTTTTATAATAGAAAGCTTGAAAAACCGTTCTGCATAGCAACCTGCATTCAACATAGAAGAGAAAACATGACCATTCTTGATATAGTAATTTTTAATCTTTGGTAATAATTTGGTCGTCCTGAAAAGGACGGTTTGGATGACGATTTTATGTACAAGTTTTCGGCTCAGCTTTTGAAACGTTTAAGCCTTCTTCTCGGTCTTCTTGGGCAACAGAACAGCCTGTATGTTAGGCAACACTCCACCTTGGGCAATAGTGACGCCGGAGAGCAGCTTGTTTAACTCCTCGTCGTTACGGATGGCCAACTGCAGATGACGCGGAATAATTCTAGTCTTCTTGTTGTCACGAGCAGCATTGCCTGCCAACTCGAGAACCTCAGCAGCCAGATATTCCATTACGGCTGCTAGGTAAACTGGAGCGCCTGCACCAACACGCTCGGCGTAGTTACCCTTCCTGAGCAGACGGTGAATACGGCCCACAGGGAATTGAAGACCGGCACGGTTGGAGCGGGACTTTGCCTTTCCCTTCACTTTGCCACCTTTTCCACGTCCAGACATTTTGCTTTGCGATTATTTCACTTAGATCACTGTACACACGGAACACGAATGCTTGTCGAACCCCGGCAGCGAAATATTTATACTTTTCCGTCTGTCAGCTCTCTTAGTTAGGGGTGGGTGACTAGACCTGAAATGATTGCTCGTAAAAAAGTATAAGAATGAACGCATTCGGAGCCCACATTACAATAAGTGAATTGTGTTTGTGAAATTATAAGTGAAGTGAATAATGCCGCCGAAAACTAGTGGAAAGGCAGCCAAGAAGGCTGGCAAGGCTCAGAAGAACATCACCAAGACCGACAAGAAAAAGAAGCGCAAGAGGAAGGAGAGCTATGCCATCTACATTTACAAGGTTCTCAAGCAGGTCCATCCTGACACCGGTATTTCGTCTAAGGCGATGAGCATAATGAACAGCTTTGTAAATGATATTTTCGAGCGCATTGCTGCCGAGGCGTCTCGTCTGGCTCACTACAATAAGCGCTCGACCATCACCAGTCGGGAAATCCAAACGGCTGTTCGCCTGCTTCTGCCCGGAGAGTTGGCTAAGCATGCTGTCAGTGAGGGAACCAAGGCTGTCACCAAGTACACCAGCTCCAAATAATTTCCTCCTGCGAGTGCGGACAAAAATCCAAAACGGCCCTTTTCAGGGCCACAATGTGTTTCATCAAAGAAATGTATTTTTCAATTTACCAATCGTCTAATATGAATTTACCATTTTAACTCTACCGATAATATGGGTAAAATTTTTCAAATACAGACCGAAAAATCGGAAACGATAACTGAATACGCTCAACAAGCAACGTAATTCAATAACTAGACATGTATCGTTTTATTGTTGTTGCCAAAGTCTGCTAATAAGGTAAATGGAACTTTTTAATTTACAAATAGTATTTGAATGATTTTCTTTCTCTTGCAAGTGAATGTTGTAGCCCTGAAAAGGGCTTGTTTAGACAAATTTCAGATCTAGAAATCTAAAATTTTGATTGCGAACATGTACCAACTACTGTACTTTTTCGCAATTTACTTCTTGGCAGCCGTAGTCTTTGCTTTCGGCTTCTTGGCGGTAGCAGAAATCGCTGCTTTCTTCGCCGTCTTTTTGGGTTTTGCAGACGCCGCTGGCTTCGCCTTTGGGGATTTGGCTGCTGCAGCCTTCGACTTCGCTGCGGTCGCCTTCGCCTTTGTTGCGGCGGGCTTCGACTTTACGATTCCAGTTTTCTTGTCATCCTTGGCTTTTGCCTTCTCCGTTTTCTTCTTCTCGGCAGTCTTTTTGGTGGCCACAGCCTTCTTAGCCTTGGGCTTTTTGTCAGCAGCCCCAGCGGCAGTTTTTTTGGCGGAGGCACCAGTCTTCTTGGAGGTTACCTTCTTGCTTTGCACTTTTTTCTCAACAGACAAAACCTTTAATTTTGCCTTCGGATCCTTATCTTTCTTGGCGGAAGCCGACAGTTTGAATGATCCAGATGCACCCTTTCCCTTTGTTTGGATAAGTTTTCCATTAACCACAGCCGATTTTAAGTACTTCTTGATGAATGGAGCTAGCTTTTGGGCGTCGCATTTATAAGTGGCAGTGATATATTTTTTTATGGCCAAAAGTGATGAGCCACCACGTTCCTTTAAGTTTTTAATGGAAGCGTCTACCATTTGCTGAGTTGGCGGATGTGACGGCGTCGCAGTGGCTTTCTTTGCCTTTGTGGCAGATGTAGATGCCTTTTTTGGGGCCACCTTCTTCTCAACTGACGCGGGCGTGGCAGCCACTGGAGAAGCGGACGTTGCAACTGCAGAATCAGACATATTTTTTTACTAAGAACACTTTTTTTCTTTAGAAAATGGCCC